GGACCCTTGGGGACACGGGGACCCCAACACTGGGACCCCTTGGGGACGTGGGATGTAAGTGGGTGACACCTTGGGGATGTGGGACAAGGGTGGGGGACACCCAGGGATGTGGGACCCTGATGGGGGGACCCTTGGGGACGTGGGATGTAAGTGGGTGACACCCCTAGGGACACGAGTAGAGAACCCTTGGGGACATGGGACAGGGGTGGGCGGGGCCTTGGGGACACGGGGACCCCAACGCCGGGACCCTTTGAGGACACGGGACAGGGGTGGGTGACACCCCAGGGATGTGGGACCCTGATGGGGGGACCCTTTGGGGACGTGGGACAGGGGTGGGGGACACCCTGGGGACATGAGTAGGGGACCCTTGTGGACACAGGATGTGAGTGGGTGACACCCCGGGGATGTGGGACCCTGAGGGGGGGACCCTTGGGGACACGGGGACCCCAACACTGGGACCCCTTGGGGACATGGGATGTAAGTGGGTGACACCTTGGGGATGTGGGACAAGGGTGGGGGGCACCCCAGGGATCTGGGACCCTGAGGGGGGGACCCTTGGGGACGTGGGATGTAAGTGGGTGACACCTTGGGGACGTGGGACAGGGGTGGGGGGCACCCCGGGCATGTTGGACCCTGAGGGGAGGACCCTTGGGGACATGGGACAGGGGTGGGTGACACCCCGGGGATATGGGACCCTGATGGGGGGACCCTTGGGGACACGGGGACCCCAACACTGGGACCCTTGGGGACGTGGGATGTGAGTGGGGGACACCCAGGGATGTGGGACCCTGATTGGGGACCCTTGGGGACACAGGGCAGGGTTGGGCGGGGCCTTGAGGACACAGGGACCCCAACACTGGGGACCCCTGGGGATGTGGGACAGGGGTGGGCGGGGCCTTGGGGACATGGGATGGGAGTGGGCGGGGCCTTGGGGACACAGGGACCCCAACACTGGGACCCTTGGGGACACAGGACAGGGGTGGGCGGGGCCTTGGGGACACGGGGACCCCAATACCGGGACCCTTTGGGGACACGGGACAGGGGTGGGGGACACCCCAGGATGTGGGACCCTGAGGGGGGGACCCTTGGGGACACGGGGACCCCACTAAAGGGACATTTGGGGACACGGAGCAGGAGTGGGCGGGACCTTGGGGACACGATGACCCCAACACTGGGACCCTTGGGGACACGGGACAGGGGTGGGCGTGGCCTTGGGGACACGGGGACCCCACCAAAGGGACCCTTTGGGGGCGTGGCCATGGTGGTGGGGGCGTGGCCAGGGCCCAGGAATGGGAGGGGCCTCCCCTGGTGTGATCCGTGCAGGGGGCGGGGCCTTGTGGTGGGAGGAGCCTCACATAACGGGGTGGGGCCTACACCGATGTGGGCGGGGCCAGGCGGGACAGGGGTGTGGCCTCATTTCTCTGTGGGCGTGGCCTCTTAGAAGGACGGGGCGTGGTCTAAGCCAACGTGGGCGTGGCCAAGTGTAAAAGCGGGTGTAGCCTCATTCCCTGTGGGCGTGGCCTGAGCCAATGTGGGCGTGGCCAAAGTGCGACGGGGGCGTGTTCTACCTTGTGGGCGTGGCCAAAGGAGGGGGGTCTCACCCAATCAGGACCGACACGCCAACGGGGGCGTGGCCACATCTCATGGGCGGGGTTTCATCCGCAGCGGGTGGGCGTGGCCTCGCTCGGTGGGCGTGGCCACGCCTGCTGCGGGCGGGGCTAAAGGGGGTTAAGGGTGGGGTTGGGGGGGTTCAACCGATGAGGGCGGGGCTAAAGGGGGGGCGTGGCCTTACCCGGTGGGCGGGGCCGGCGAGGGCGGGGCCGACTCGGAGGAGCTGGAACTGGAGTCGGAGTCGGAGTCGGACGAGGAGGACGAGGAAGAGGAGGAGGACGAGGATGACGAGGACGAGGACGAAGAGCTCTTGGGGGCCTCACTGGGAGCACTGGGAGCACTGGGAGCGCCGGTGTCCACGGCAACCGCGCCCTCGGCGACACTGGGAGCACTGGGAACAGCAGCACTGGGGACACTGGGAGAAGCAGCACTGGTGGCACTGGTCGTACTGGTGACGCCGGGAGACGCAGAACTGGCGGCACTGGTCGCACTGGTGACGCTGGGAACAGCAGCACTGGTGACACTGGTGACACTGGGAACAGCAGCACTGGTGATACTGGTCGCACTGGTGACACTGGGAGCTGCAGAACTGGTGAGACTGGTTGCGCTGGGAGCAGCAGCACTGGTGACACTGGTCGCACTGGTGACACTGGGAGCGGCAGCACTGGTGACGCTGGTCATGCTGGGAGCACTGGTGATACTGGGAACAGCAGGGCTGCTCACACTGGTCATACTGGGAACCGCAGCACTGGTCATGCTGGGCGCACTGGTGACACTGGAAACAGCAGGACTGGTCATACTGGTCGCACTGGGAATCGCAGGGCTGCTCACACTGGTCATACTGGTGGCGCTGGTGACACTGGGAACCGCAGGGCTGCTCACACTGGTCATACTGGTCGCACTGGGAACAGCAGCACTGGTGACACTGGTCATACTGGTGACACCAGAAGCCCTCAGAGCACTGGTGGCACTGGTGACACTGGGAACCGCAGGGCCGCTCACACTGGTCATACTGGTGGCACTGGTGGCACTGGGAGCACTGGAGACACCGGTGACACCCCCAGAACCGGCCACAATGGTCCCACTGGCCACACTGGTCATACTGGTCACACTGGTCACGCCGGCGACCCGGGGCACACTGGGAGCACTGGTGATACCGGTGACACCCCTGGCAAGGGCACTGGTCATACTGGGAGCCATACTGGGAGCCATACTGGGAGCACCGGCGGCCTTGGTGGCGATGACGCTGACGTTGCTGCCGTTACTGGTGTTACTGGTGTTACTGGTGGCCCGTGGGGCGGCCATGGTGGCCATGGCGGTGGCCTTGGCGGTGGCGTCGGCGCTGGCGCGCAGGATGGCCGCGCCCAGGGGGCTCACGCCCGCGGGGACACCCCGGGGGGACCCCACGATGACACCGGGGGTGGCCCTGGGGGCTACTGGGAGGGCACTGGTGGCGACTGGGAGGACGCTGGTGACGCTGGTGGCTCCCACGGTGACACTGGTGGCCTTGGTGGCTCCTGTGGTGACACTGGTGGCTCCTGAGAGGACACTGGTGGCTCCTGGGAGCAAACTGGTGGCCTTGGGGGTGACACCGGTGGCCACTGGGAGGACGGTGGCGGCTCCCGCGGCGACACTGGTGGCTACTGGGAGGATGGTGGTGGCCTTAGTGGCTCCTGTGGTGACACTGGTGGCCGCTGTGGTGGCACTGGTGGCCCCTGACAGGACACTGGTGGCTCCTGGGGTGACACTGGTGGCTCCCACGGCGACGCTGGTGGCTACTGGGAGGACGGTGGCGGCTCCTGGGAGGACACTGGTGGCCTTGGGGGTGACACTGGTGGCTCCTGGGAGGACACTGGGGACACTGGTGGCTCCTGGGAGGACACTGGTGGCTCCTGGGAGGACACTGGTGGCCTTGGGGGTGACGTTTGTGGCTCCTGTGGTGACACCGGTGGCTACTGGGAGGACACTGGTGGCTACTGGGAGGACGGTGGCGGCTCCTGGGAGGACACTGGTGACACTGGTGGCTCCCACGGTGACCCCGCCGGCCTTGGGGGCGACACTGGTGACACTGGTGGCCCCTGAGAGGACACTGGTGGCCTTGGGGGTGACACTGGTGACAACGGTGACACCGCTGACCTTGTTCTCTGCACTGGTCACACTGGTGGCACTGGTGGCCCTGTTGTCCATGCTGGTCACACTGGTGGCCACACCAGTGGCCCCGGTGGCCCTGCTGTCCGTACTGGTCATACTGGTGGCCCTGTTGTCCATGCTGGTCACACTGGTGGCCACACTGGTCACACTGGTGGCCCTGCTGTCCATACTGGTGACCCCAGAGATGACACTGGTGGCCTTGGGGGGGACACTGGTGTCTGCAGGCGTGGCCTTAATGGTGCCACTGGGACCCTTGTTGTCCAGGGCACTGGTGGCCTTGTTGTCCAGGGCGGTGGCCACGGTGACACCGGCGGCCTTCGGGGTGACACTGGTGGCCCCCACGGTGACCTGGGTGGCCCCCACGGTGGCATGGGTGGCACTGGTGGCCCCCATGGTGGCACTGGTGGCCCCCACAGTGGCATGGGTGGCCCCCATAGAGACACTGGTGCCACTGGTGACATGGGTGGCCCCGGTGGCCCCCATGGCAGCACTGGTGGCCCCCGTTGTGACATGGGTGCTACCGGTCACATGGGTGGCACTGGTGGCCCCTATAGTGCCACTGGTGATAGTGGTGGCACTGGTGGCCCCCATGGCGACACTGGTGGCCCCCACGGTGACACTGGTGCCACTGGTGACATGGGTGGCACTGGTGGCCCCCACGGCAACACTGGTAGCCCCCATGGCAGCACTGGTGGCCCCCATAGTGCCACTGGTGATACTGGTGGCACCGGTAGCCCCCATGGCTACACTGGTAGCCCCCATGGTGACACCAGTAGCCCCCATAGTGCCACTGGTGATACTGGTGGCACTGGTAGCCCCCATAGCAACACCGGTAGCCCCCACAGCGCCACTGGTGATACTGGTGGCACCGGTAGCCCCCATAGCAGCACCGGTAGCCCCCACAGCGCCACTGGTGATACTGGTGGCCCCCACGGTGATACCGGTGCCCCCACTAACCCCAACCCCTCTGGGTGCCCCCCTGCTGTCCATCACCCCCCCGGCCACCCCCCCTGCCCTGGGGGCCACCCCGAACCCCCCCGTGGTTGCCCCCCGGTTGCCGTGGCCCAGCCGTGGCGGGGGCAGCAGCGGCGGCAGCGCCGAGGCCGCCACGGGGGACGAGGGGAGGCTGAGGCGGGCGGCGGGAAGGAGGGACCCCAAAGTGCCCCCGGGACCCCGAGAAAGAGCCCGGGGCAACCCCGGGGGCGGGGGGGGAGGGGTGGCCCGGGGGGACGCTCTGGTGGCCGCGGGGGAGGGTTTGGGGGCGACGTTGGGGGGGTTGGGGACATTGGGGGTCGGGGGCGTGGCCTTGGGGAGGGAGGGGGGGGTCACCTCCACCTTGGGGGCAGGGGGGGATGAGGTTTTGGGGGAGACCCCATGGGGGGGGGGACAGCAGAGATTTGGGGTCCCCAGAGACCACTTTGATGTCCCCAGCGCCCAGTTTGGGGTCACCAGCACCCAGTTTGACATCACCAGTTCCCAGTTTGACGTCCCCAGGTCCCAGTTTGACGTCCCCAGGTCCCAGTTTGGTGTCCCCAGTTCCCAGTTTAACGTCACCAGTTCCCAATTTGGTGTCCCCAGCGCCCAGTTTGGCATCACCACCACCCAGTTTGCTCTCATTGACTCCCAGTTTGCCCTCGTTGACTCCCAGTTTGCCCTCGTTGGCTCCCAGTTTGCCCTCGTTGGCTCCCAGTTTGGCGCCGTTGACCCCCAGTTTGGCGTCACCCTTTGGGGGCTCAGGGGGTGGCCCCGGGGACACTTTGGTGGCCCCCTCGGCCACCGGCGGCTTCTCCTCGGGTGGCACCAATTTGGGGGTCACTGGGGGGGTCACACTGGAACTGGTGACACTGGGGGCGACACTTGGGGTCCCCCCCGTCCCCTCCGAGGCCGATTTGGGGGTGGTGACACTGGGGGTCCCCAAGGTCCCCTCCTGGGTGGGTTTGGTGACCCCGGGGGTCCCCAAGGTCCCTTCTGGGGGGGGGTTTGGCCACCCCGGGGGTCCCCAAATTCCCTTCTGGGGGGGGTTTGGCCACCCCGGGTGCCCCCTCGGTGGCCATTTTTGGGGTCCCCCCCTCGGTGCCGGGCGGGGCCGGCTGCGGGGGGAGGGGCTGCTGCTGCTGCTGGGCCCCTCCCCCTATAGGGACCCACTTGGGGGTCCCGGGGGTTCCCTTGGGGGGCTGCGGGGCCGCCGGGTGCAGCTCGGCCAAGGGCACCCACTTGGGCCGGGCGGGCGTGGCCGGGGTGGGCGTGGCCATCAGCGGCGCGGGCGTGGCCTCGGCGGGGGTGGGCGTGGCCAACCTGTTGAGGAGGAGGGGCGGGGGCGGGGGGGTGGGGGAGGAGCCTCGGGCGGGGGTGGGGGAGGGGCTGTCGCTGGGGTGTCTCCGGCGGGGCCGGGACGGGGATCGGGAACGGGGCCGCGCCCGTTTTTTGGGAGGGAGGGGCGAGGACAGGGAGCGGCTGCGGCGGGTCCCTCCCCCACCTCCCCCTCCTCGACCCCGGGGGGATTTTCCGGAAGATTCCGAGCGGCTCCGGCGGGTCCCGGTGCGGCCGCGCCGGTGACGTCGGTCGGGGGACGGGGACAGGGAGCGGGAGCGGCGGCGGGAACGGGAACGGCGCAGGGGGGACCGGGAGCGGCGTAAGGGAGACCGGGATCGGCGCAGGGTGGAGCGGGAGCGGCGCCGGGATCGGGATCTGCGGCGGGATCGGGATCTCCGGATCGGGGACCGGGATCTCCGGATTGGGGACCGGGATCTCCGGATGGGGGAGCGGGAACGACGCCGGGACCGGGATCTCCGGATTGGCGACCGGGATCGGCGCAGGGTGGAGCGGGATCGGCGCCGGGATCGGGATCGGGATCGCGACCGTCCCCATCGCCGGGATCTGCGGGATCGGGAGCGGGAGCGGCGCCGGCGGGTGGTGGAGCGGGACCGCGACCTGGTGGCCGCGCTGGCGGTGGCCACCGAGGTCGCGGCGGTGGCGGCCACCAAGGGGGTGACCCCGGCCACGGGCCAGCGCAGGGGGGAGGTGGCGTTGGGTGTCCAGAGCGGGGTGCGGGAGCGGGAGCGGCGCCGGGCGCGGGATCGGGGTCGGGAGCGGGGCCGGGATCGGGAGCGATGGCGGCGGGAGGAGGAGCCGCGGGGGCCGCGGGGGCGGCGGGAGCGGGAGCGGGAGCGGGAACGGGAGCGGGAGCGGCGGGAGGAGGAGGCCCTGGGGGTGCTACTGGTGGCACTGGTGGCGACTGGGGGGCGTTTGAGGGGAGGGGGAGGAGGGGTGGGGGAGTGTTGGGGAGGGGGAGGGGAGGAGGAGGGTTTGGGGGAGGGGGAGGGGCTCCTCACGGGCGGCGGCTCCGCGGGGGCGACGCCCCCGTTTTGGGGGGTTTGGGGTTGGGTTTGGGGGGTCGGCGACGGCGCGAGGGGCTCCAGCTGCTGCTGCTGCTGCTGCGGCTGCAAAAAACACAAAAACACCAAA